TTGCTATTTAAATTTATACTTATATTACTTGTAAAGTTTGAAAATTATAATTTAAAATGTAACTTTTTCAATGAGATTGTTATAAGAAAAAAAGTCATCGGATGTAATATTATCAAAATAAAAGCCAAAACATATTGTTTTTTCTTAAATTAAGCAAAGGAAACTCAACTAAAACAAAAAACTTTTGTTTAATAATAAAATTTCTTAAAACATGCTCAACTTAACCTAAAAAAATTTTTTCAAAAACTTAATTAAATGTAAATAAATATAGACTTATATGATTATTTATCACAAATATTGCCTATAAATTACTTTGCTGCTTTTTTTAAAGGCAAAACACCTTTGTATGTTACTTTTAGGCAAACTAGAAAAGATTAAAATTTCTGATTCTAAAAACTGTCTAAACCAAAAATAACGTTATTTTCTTTTGTATTTCAGTTATACATATACTTTTATTTTTAATATTACTCAAAAGTTTGCTGCCTTTCTGTTTAAAAGTAAAAAAACGTTTACACTGCATTCAAACATAGAATTAAAGTTGCCCCTTCGAAGGCTGTTTCTGATTATTGTAATTTTTCATTTTCTTTACATTAACTTGTTTTATATTCCATACCCCTTATTTTAATTACTTTATTTTAATCTTCCTATCTAATTCTACTTATCTATACATAATGTTGTTTGTTAAGTTTATCGATATCCTGTTCTAAGCAAGGATTCCAAACGAATTAAAAATTACTATTTTACCCACAATTTTGTTATTCCTCCTCTGTAAAGTTAATTCATTCACATTTCTTTAGATTTTGATTTATTGATTTTATCCTATATACATTCTTTTATTATAAATGTTGTATACAATTTGTAATTATTCTATTTTAATTAATCAACTTTCCTAAATTCACTTCCAGAAAAGTTACTGCATAATCTCTAATTGTGATTATACTTCTCCTTTTTGTTTATTAATTAATATAATAATGCTTTTGATTTTTCTCACTTTTAATGATAATATTCCATTCTTTTATAAATTAGATTAATGAAATAAAAATCAACATTAAAGAATACCAATTTATTTTCATAAAATGCTTGGCTTTATTAATTTATACATACTTTACAAAAAAAACATGAATTTTTCAGTCATAGAGTTAACTTGACTCAATAGTAAACAATACATTCATTCTTGATTCCTACAATTTACATTCATTAACATCACTAATTTCTTTTAATTAGCTGGTGTTGGAACATTCAATAGCAAATTTTGTCCTGTAGGTAAGTAAGCTACTTGTCTAGATCTTGAAAGCTGGTATGCAATGTCCTCAGCAGCCTCAATACGTCTCAATTCAACCAAACCTTCTCCAGCATCCCCAAAAGCTTTTGCAAGTAAAATAGCAGCTTGGGCATCACCTTCGGCCGAAACAACTGTAGCTTTTTTCGTTTGTTCTGCTTTTTCTACAAGAAATCGAGCCTTTTCAGCCTCCTGTTGAGCAACTTGTTTCAATTCAACTGCTTGAGTGAATTCCTTGCCAAATGTTAAATGTGTTATGGAAATGTCATCTAAAATCACTCCAAATTGTGAAGCACGATCAGTTAATGCATCACTGACTTTCTGAGAAACTAAATCTCTTTGTGTTATAAGTTCTCCTGCATCAAACTGGGCCACTACTGCCTTTAAAACTTCTGTTGTAATAGAGGGCAGAACCCTTTCTTCATAATCATTTCCTAATACAGTGTAGATCTTGGGAAGCTCATCAGGAACTGGCCGGAACAGTATACGTAAGGTAATATTTACATTTTGAAGATCTTAAACAAGGAAGAGAAACTTTGTATCCAAACCTGTCCATTCTTCTCTAATAAAAAATATGCAACATACCTTTGCTTCCAGTAATTACAGGTACATTTCTAGGTCTTGAACGTATATCAAAAATAATTGGTCTTTGAACCCAAGGAATGAAGAAATGCGTTCCTTCTCCAACAATTTGTTTCTTAATTCCAGTAAATCTATCAAAAATAACTGCCCTGTGACCCCCATCAACTAAAAGTAAAATAGAAGAGGTTATTTAGCATACTAAAACAATAAATACCAAACAAATATATTGTAATACCATTGTAAAGGGCTGAATTAACTACACCCCCAGCTAGAGCAACGCCGAGGCCAACAGATCCCAGTCGATTAAAAAATTGCATTGCTGACATGATTTACTGAAAACAAAAGTAAGGCTAAATGCAAGTTTTTTTTAATGAAAAATCTTAAATTAGAATATTAAATCAATAAATATTAATTAAAAAGCAAAAGGGCCCTATTAATTAACCATGCTTAAAAGTAAATTAAACAAATATACGTACTTAACACAAAGCGAGGACTTTTTTTGAGTTGGAAGATTGAGGTTAAATAATTCGGAAATGATCTTCTAAGAAGTAGATAATATTTAACAAACTGCAATTACTATAAAATACACAAATACAACAAAATTATTATTAACTTATTTAAATAAAGTAATATTTTCAACATATACAATACATGTGAGACATGTACCATGTACCTACACAGAAAGTGTATAAAGTAACGTAACGTACGGTAGTGTACATGTAACGTAACTACCTAACTGTACATAGGAAGCAAACATCCTTATGAAAAGACTTTTTTAAAGCACGATCTTAATTTCCTCCAAAAAAGCTTCTATTTTTTTAACAATCTATTAAGGAAATACATTAACTATACATACAAAAGATGTGTCCCTAATTAAATTAACTTAAACAATAGCTCAAATATATCTTACAATACATAAGATAACAAAACATACTTCTATTTTTTCTTTTTGTTAATATCAACGTTCCAGTAATAAAATAATTGATATACAAGAACAGCATTAGCAAATGATGAAGCTGCATAAGTAATTATGGACATGGTGTCACCAGTTTCTTGTATCGAAGTGAATATTCTTGCTAAGGAGCCAGCAAACAGCATGATTAATGTCACAGCTGCTAACTGACCAGTATGACCATTCTTGTAATTAACATGTGCTTGTAAAAGTTTCCCTGATAACAATATTGGAATGTTAAATCCTTGCAATGTCCACAATACATTTATAGGTGTAATTCCACTAATAAGAACATAAACTGATGAAGCATACACCAAAAGGTAGATCAAAGCCTTTGAAGGAGAGCCCCCAAAAAATAAAACAAGAAATCCAATTGCAACAGTCTGCAATGCCAAAAATGCTGTATCACCCCATGATGTGAATGGAAAACCATTTACACAACTGTATGCCATATAAATAGTTATTGCTATAAGGTCAAAGGTCACACTAAATAAACTAATTCCTTGGGCACTTTTGTTTTTTAAGATTTTCAATATTTGTGGAATTTTTACTAGCAGAGATCCCAGAATAATTCCTACTCCTAAACATTTGCTGAGAGTTGCTTTAAAGCAGTTAACTAAAAGAGAGCCAATTAAAATCAATAAATTTAATATTGCACAGAAGCACTTACCATCTAGAAAATTGAATTCCAGGAAATATTGGTCATAACAAGCAGGGGAAAATAATAATAGGGCAATGTCCTTCACGTAGCTTCTGTCTCCCATTTTACTATCTGGAAAATCAAATATATTAATAATTATTCCTGTCTAAAGCAAATCTACTGCTGAAATATCTTTTAAATGTAAGTATAAGATATCAAATAAGTACTTACTTAAATGTTGACGTGGAATATAGCAGAAATTTACCTAGTTAACCTCAAAGAAACTGTCTTTAATAACATAGTTAACCTGGATCATTTTTAAATTCCTGGGTTTATTATACAAGTCATAATATGTTTTAAAAGTAAAATAACTAATTAAATATTATACTTTTATTAAATTCATCATTTTTCTTAATTATGAACCGTCTAGCCGAAGTTGATTTACTTTCTGCAAGGACTCTGGAGGGGGTAAATACGAAAAATGTCAAGCTGACAGATGTTAACTAAAGAATGTAAGCGGTTATGGTCCTTAAAGTGTTTGGCAATAAGAATTCAATTAGGTTTTGGAATGTTGTATCAAAATCCGTAAATGGCCAAAAACTATTCATTCAAGGAAACGTTATTAATAAGAAATTCAGTTAAAAGCTTATCTTAAATTTTAACTATTAGCACAGTAGACTTATATATTTTCTTTTGATGATTATCGCGATTAGGAATGTGTTGTTTTCTAATACAATTTTTTTTGTTAAATAACTAACCAAACATTTTCCAATGCTAATAAAAAAAGTTGATTATTTGAAGAATGGCATCGGTTTACAAACGGTCATGGAAGTTGCGTAAGTAAAAAAAAGGTGCTTTTTCTTCTTTGAATAATAAAATTTATTTTCCAGAGGAATTTGTGGCCCACAATGCCAATGTGAACTGCCTGGCATTGGGACACAAATCTGGTCGTGTTATGGTAACAGGTGGAGATGATAATAAAGTAAACCTATGGGCAATAGGAAAGCAGAGCTGTTTTATGAGTTTGAGTGGTCATACAACCCCTGTGGAATGTGTTCAGTTTAATTATGTTGAAGAGTTAGTTTGTGCTGGTTCCAGGTCTGGGGCCTTAAAGGTGTGGGATTTAGAAGCTGCGAAATTAGTACGTACATTAACTGGTCATAAAGACAGTATACAGTGTGTTGATTTCCATCCCTATGGTGATTTTTTGACTTCTGGAAGTGCTGACTGTTCTATCAAGTTGTGGGACAGCCGCAAGAAAGGATGCATTGGGTCTTTTCCTAGCCACAAAGCCAAAGTAAACAGTGTTAAATTTAGTCCTGATGGTCAATGGATAGCATCAGGAGGAGATGACAGTAGTATTAAAATTTGGGACTTGCGTGTAGGCAAAGTTTTAAAAGACTTTACAGATCATGCAAATTCTGTGCTCAGTGTAGAATTTCATCCTCATGAGTTCTTGCTAGCCAGTGGCAGTTCAGACAGATCTGTACATTTCTATGATCTCGAAAATTTCAACTTGGTCTCCTCAGAGAAGGACCTGGGCTCAGTTAGATGTCTTTGGTTTAATCCAGATGGGGATTGTCTCTTTGCAGGAGTAAGGGACTATTTAAAAGTTGTTGGATGGGAACCTGAACGCTTATTTGACTCTGTCCCAGTCAATTGGGGAAGAATTTTTGACATATCTACAGCACAACATCAGTTGGTATGTTTTTTTATTGTAATTTCACTTTTCAATTGAAATTGTTTTGTTCTTTTAAAAATTTTATACAAGAAAGTTTGTATTCAGTATTCCTTTGGTCTTATTTAATTAATTAAACCACCTTTTATTTTAAAACAATCGAATTAAGCCATTATTTACATGCCATTGGACTCAAGTAATAAAAAATATTGAGTACTAACAGGTGTTTCAACTAATTACCTTTAATTAGTGTTATAACTCTCATGTACTTAAAAAATTTGTTATATACTTCAATTGATTGTTGGAAAAACTGAGCAAAAGTTTTTGTTCTTATAATTAGCATTAGTTTCAGGAGAAAATTAATTTGCATAATTGCTTTCATAAATTACCAATTAAAATGGCCTCAGTTACGTCTTAAGATTATATTTAATGTTTTAAAATTATTTTCAATTTTTTATAGCATACATTTATATCATTAATTTAAAATGTATTGAAATAAATGGTACTTATTGCGTACTAACTCAGTAATTATGAAGCAAGATATATTTTTATAATAATTTATTCATTGCTTGAGTTGCCAATATTTGCTTAAATGATTTTCTCTTATTTCAAAAAGGTTTTACCTTCAATTTTAAATTAAAAGTCGTGGGTAGTACAAGGTTACAGCTTATGTAATCACAAAAACATTATTTACATGAAACATTATAACTTGATGAATAAATATGTAAAAGAACAATTATTTTTTAAATGTAATTCCAAAAAAAATATTTTTTTATAAGTAATTCCATTACAATTACCCAAAATAAAAAATATTTTTTTCTTAATATCTTAGTGTCGTAGTACAGCTACAAAACTTTTTTTTTATAACTTAACTGGAATTCTATTCTGTGTAGTTACTGTATTTTTTTAAATCTTACGAACGTTACTTTAAAAAAATAAAATCCTGAAAGCTCATCATTTTGAAAGCATATAAATTCATCTGCAACTGAACAATATTTTTAGATATAATATATAAATCTTTCTTTTTTGTTATTTTTCAGGTGGGTGCATCATTTCATTTAACAAACGTTATGGTTTATGTAGTGGATTTAAAAAGAGTTGAGCCTATTAGAGCACCTGGGCTGGACAGTTCAAATCCATTTTCCCATAACAACAGTTTAAGAAAGAGTTTTTCTAAAGCTGAACGTCCCGTTTCGTTACGCTCAAAAAATGCCATAGACGTGAAAACTATTGAAGAAAATACCTCAGGGACTGACCCTGAAGAAGAGTCCACATTAGACATCACCAATTTTAAAGATTACAACGAAATTTTTAAAGCCAGACAGTCATGTAAGCACATTTACCTATTTCTTTATTGAATTGTAAACTTTTTATTTTTATAGTGAGACGAACTCCACCACCTATTGAACCTTTTAAAGAACCAGAAGAAGAACATTATGCAGGTTCGTTATTGAATGTTTCTTTATCCAATATTCTCACCATTAGGGTTCCGTATCTAAAAATATAAAGAGGAACCTTTGTGGTGAGTTTTTGTTTGTCATTGGTATCTTTTGATGAAGTAATTCTTTTGGTTGCAGATCCAACTGAGCCTCAAGTATTGGGGGAAGTTATTTCAGATAAAATTGAAGCATTGTCTTTGGACACGATACATAATAGCACACCGGCCTCGCACGTGTCGTCCACTTCGTATTCGCGTTCCAAGTCCAATTTGGACTACATTTTCCGTAAGAAGCAGCAGGCAACGAAGCCCACTGAATCCGAGCCTCCTGTCGTCGTTGTTCCAAGTCAGACCAAGCCTAAACCATTAGTGCCAGTACCTCCTCCAAAGTTCGCCTTGAATCGTCAAAACAGCTGCAAAGACGTGCCCGAAAAACTGCCCAAAAATGACATTAAACACAGTGTTTCAGAAGCGAATCTCCAAACCAAAAATTTGTTAGTTTCGTCTTCAAGAAATGCCTCCCGGAAGAATTCCTTTTCCAAACCGATTCGTAACTTTACCAGTACTCCTAATATTCCAGTGTCGAAGATTCCTGGATCCGCAAAAATCACTGAAAGGGCCGCGGTCGTCAAGCCAGTTCCTAATGTAACCGTAGGTGCCCCTGTTGATATTTTCGTGACTCCCGTAAGTCGAAAAATATCAAAGGATAGACAGGAAAGTGATTACGTACCAGCAACTGTTGATCGGCCTGTGGGACTCGATCTTGACGATTTCTTACCTGTAAGCATTATATTTTCTTTGCAGTTACGTTTAGAAGTTTCCCTTTAATTCAGATTCAGATTAAGTAGATTATTAAGTTAATTAAATATAATTAGTGCTTTCTTTTTAGTTAGTGTTATATTGATTTCCATTTTTGTATTTGCAGAAAAATCATCAGCCCTATGGTAAAGAAGCGCAACTTCCTGATATGTCAGAAGCAGAAGTGCTGGGTATAGTTATGAGAGGTCACGAACCCATGATGGCTGTGTTAACTACGAGACAGAAGAACTTAAAGGTTGTTCTTGCCCAACTGAAAAGTAAAGACTTGAAAGCCGCCATGGAAATGGCAATCCAGCTGGATGATTTGGCGATCATTGTAGATTTATTAGGAATTTTTAATAACAAATAGTAAGAACAACTTTCTTTTGTATAAATGTATAATTAGATATAAAACGATCCTTTTGTTTCAGTTCGATGTGGAATTTGGATTTATGCGTTCTTTTATTACCAAAGGTCGAGGATCTCTTAAGAAGTAAATTCGAAATGTAAGTGCTTTTTATATTATATTTATTTTTTCAGTTGATTTATTACAGTACATTTTTAAGGACCA